CACGACAATTTGTTTTGTTTGTGCTTTGGTAGGGGATGCAGAGAAAAAAGATTTACACATAGTTTAGTAAAGTCTTTTGCTTTCTAAAGCTTAGGATATCTCTACTTTAGACTGAATCTGCTTTAGCAAGTTATAACAAGATTTCATGGATTTTGGTATCCTAAGAGCAGATTGGAAAAGCAAACACGCAGTCCAAGTGCTTTCCCCATTTGTTTGCATAGCTGGTAAGCAACATCATTTGGGCTGGAGTCCAGGTCTGTCTGACTCCAGAGGCCATAGTATTTCAATACTGCATCAGGGACAAGCTATATGGCAGAATAATCAACTGTTTCCTTATGTCAGATAAACTTACTGGAAAAGTCACCTGGGTATAGAAGAATCCTTAAGAAGGAAGAGGGTGCTTTGTGCATATTCAGAGCCACACATTTCTCTGGAGAAGATGTGGTTAGAGCATTGAGAAATGTGTTTGAGACCCTGAAGATGGAGTTAGAAGCAGAATCCCTGCAGGCAATAGGGAGCTATTGAAGGATGTTAAGCAGGGGAGAAACTTCATCTGATGCATGTTTAGAAAGACTGACCTGCCAGGCATGGTGCTCACACCTGTAATCCCAGCACTTTGGGAGGCCGAGGTAGGTGGGTTACTTGAGGTCAAGATTTTGAGACCAGCCTGGCCAACACAGTGAAACCCTGTCTCTACTGAAAATACAAAGATGAGCCAGGCATGGTGACAATTCCACCATGCCCGTAATCCCAACTACTTGGGAGGCTGTAATCTACTAAAAATACAAAAAATTAGCCAGGAGTGATGGCAGGTGCCTGTAATCCCAGTTAACTCGGGAGGCTGAGGCAGGAGAATCGCTTGAACTGGGAGGCAGAGGTTACAGTGAGCCTAGATTGTGCCACTACACTCCAGCCTGGATAACAGAGCTAGATTCCATCTCAAAAAAAAAAAAAAAAATTGACCTGCTGGCAGGAGTGTGGAGAAGTGATTATAAAGAGGGTATAAAATGGAGACGGAGACCACTTCGGAGTCTTCTCGGGAAGACTGAGGAAGACTTGAAATCAGGCAGTAGCAATGGTCTGCAGAGGAGCAGACTGAGAGGAGAAGCACATAGGAGGAATGGGACGAGAGCACTCGGAGACAAATCTGGAAAGAATGGGTTGAATGAATACCATGTAAAATAGGATATAGAGCAAGGTATTAGATGTCGCTATTGTTACTGTTACTATGTTTTTGTTTTTTGAGACAGATACTTGCTCTTTCGCTCAGGCGGGAGTGCAGTGGCAGGATCTCAGCTCACTGCAACCTCCGCCTCCCAGGCTCAGGCGATTCTCCTGCCTCAGACTCCCAAATAGCTGGGATTACAGACACACACCACCATGCCCAGCTAGTTTTTCTATTTTTAGTAGAGATCAGTCTGTCATCCAGGTTGGAGTGCAGTGGTGTGATCTCGGCTCACTGCAACCTCTGCCGCCCGGGTTCAAGTGATTCTCCTGCACCAGCCTCCCGAGTAGCTGGGATTACAGGCACCTGCCATCGTGCCTGGTGAATTTTGTATTTTTAGTAGTGACAGGTTTCACCATCTTGGCCAGGCTGCTGTTGAACTTCTGACCTCATGATCCACCCACCTTGGCCTCCCAAAGTGCTGGGATTACAGGCATGAGCCACCACGCCCGGACCTTTTTTTTTTTTTTTTTTTTTAAAGAGACGGGTCTCCACTATGTTGCCAGGGCTGGTCTCGAATTCCTGCCCTCAAGTGATCTTCTTACCATGGCCTCCCACAGCACTGGGATTACAGGCATGAGCCACCATGCACAGCCACCAGATTCTGGCTCTTGAGATTCTGTTTCATTAAGTCCAGGGTAGGGCTTAGGCATCTTTGTTTTAAAAAGCATGCAAGGCGCAAATCAGAACCACAGTGAGATAGCATTTCACATCCACTAGAATGGCTAAAATAAAAAACAACCCTAACAATTCTTACTGTGTTCCATGTAACAGAAAGGAGAGAACTTGTCACTTCCTTAGGCAGACTTTGTAGAAGCTGCACTTTACACTCTACTTAAATCTCTTTGACTAGATTTTAATCACATGGTCAAAATAAGCTTTAAAGGATATCAAAATGTCAGTTAAAATTTGTGGTTCTATAGCTAAGCAAGAAGTGTTTCTTTGTTTCAGAAGTCAATCACATTGTCCATACACTGCTATTACACTGGTCTTGCCCATCCTCTAGTTGTATAATTGATTCTTTTGAACCTAAAGCATAAGACTTCACAATTAGAAAAAAATGATCAGAAGACTAATGTAATTCAGTGAGGAAAAGGTGCTGGAGGAACTGGATAACCATGTGGAAATGTATGAACCCTGACCTCTATGTCATATACCATATACAAAACTTTTTCTTTCTTTGAGATGGATTTTTGCTCTTGTTACTCAGGCTGGAGTATAATGGCACAGTCTTGGCTCACTGCAACCTCCGCCTCCCGGGTTTAAGCGATTCACCTGCCTCAGCCTTCCAACTAGCTGGGACCACAGGCGCCCACCACCATACCTGGCTAATTTTTTTGTATTTTTAGTAGAGATGGGGGTTCACCATGTTAGCCAGGATGGTCTCAATCTTCTGACCTTGTATTCATTTGCCCACCTCCACCTCTCAAAGTCTTGAGATTATAGGCGTGAGCCACCGCACCCGGCCCTACCATATACAAAACTTAATTTGAGGTGGATCAGAAACCTAACTGTGAAGGCTAAAACGATAAAGCCTTTTAATGACCACGTAAGAGATGTCTACATTCATGACTTTGGGGAGGATATGAACATTTCTTCGTAACATGCACAAAGCACTAACTGTAAAAGATAACAGTTGTTCAGTTGAATTTCATGAAACATTTTAAACTTCTGCTACATAATTGACACCATTAAGAATGTTGAAAAAGGCTAGGCACAGTGGCTCATGCCTGTAATCTCAACATTTTGAGAGGCTAATGCAGGAGAATCACTTGAGGCCAGGGGTTTGAAACCAGCCTGGGCAACATGGCAAGACCCCATCTCTACAAAAATATTTTAAAAATTAGTTGTTTGTGGTGATGCACTCCTGTAGTCCTAGCTATCCAGGAGGCTAAGGTGGAAGGATCACTTAAGGCCTGGAGGTTGAGGCTTCTAATGAGCTATGATCATACCACTGCACTCCAGCCTAGGTGACAGAGACCTTGACTCTAAAAAAAAAAAAGAATACGGAAAACTATAGATTGGGAAGAAACACTTACAATACATCTTTCTAATAAAAGTCTCATATCCAGAGTATGTGAAGAATTATAGCTAGGCACGGTGGCTCATCCCAGCACTGTAATCCTGCCCTCAGGCGAGCAGATCACCTGAGGTTGGGAGTTTAAGACCAGCCCAACCAACGTGGAGAAACCCTGTCTCTACTAAAAATACAAAATTAGCTGGGTGTGGTGGCACATGCCTATAATCCCAGCTACTCTGGAGACTGAGGTAGGAAAATTGCTTGATCCCGTGAGGCAGAGGCTGCAGTGAGACGAGATCTTGCCATTGCACTCCATCCTGGGCAACAAGAGCAAAACTCTGTCTCAAAAATAAATAAATAAATACATTACTAAAAATCAGAAAAGGCCAGACAACTCAAAAATGGGCAAAAGATTAAAACAGGCATTTCACAAAATAAGACTTCCAGATGGTTATGAAAACACAGATGTTCAACATTATTCATGAGGGAAATACAAATTAAAATTATAATGCTACACACTCACCAAAATGACTACAGTTCAAAAGACTGATAATACCAGGTGTCAGCAAGAATGTGGAGCAACTGGAACGTGTTTAGACATTGTTGGAAGGAGTATAAAATGGTATAGGCCCTTAGAAAACTGTTTCATAAGCTTCTAAATAAAGTTAAACATACATCCACCTTATAAGGCAGACATTCATTCTCTTAGGTACATACTCCATTGAAATGACTACATAGGATTGCAAAAACACATTATATAAAAATGTTCATGACAGCTTTATTTATAGCAGCTCCAAACTGGAAATAGCCAGCCCTCTATCTACAGGTGAATTAATAAACAAATTATAGTTTGTCTGTGCAAGGGAATAAGTTTTAAAATTGAACTCTTGGGCCAGGCATGGTGGCTCACGCCTGTAATCCAGCACTTTGGGAGGCCAAGGTGGGTGGATCACATGGTCAAGAGATCAAGACCACCCTGGCCAACATGGTGAAATCCTGTATCTACTAAAAATACAAAAATATCAGCTGGGCTGATTCAGTCCCAGCTACTCGGGAGGCTGAGTCAGGAGAATCACTTGAGCTCAAGAGGTGGAGATTGCAGTGAGCTGAAATCATGCCACTGCACTCCAGCCTGGTGACAAAGCTAGACTCTGTCTAAAATTAAAAAAAAAAAAAAATTGAACTCTTGATCAGTATAAGAACATGGATAAATCTCAGAAACATTATACTGAGTGAAAAAAAATATATAAAAGTGGTACATACTGTCAGATCCCAATGATATTAAGCTTATGAACCTGTCAAGCCCATTTATGGTAATAGGGGGATCTTCAAGGGTAGGGGCATGTAGAAGTTTTCTGGGGAGATGGAAACTTTCTGTCTCAATTTATATGTTGCTTAAAGGTACAACCATATCCCAAATTAATCATTGAGGCTAGGCTTGGTAACTCATGCCTGTAATCCCAGCACTTTGGGAGGCCAAGACTGAAGGATCACTTCAGCCGTAGGCAGGAAGACCCTATCTGTCTCTACCTTGGATCACCTGAGGCAGGAATTCGAGACCAGCCTAGCCAACATGATGAAACCCCATCTCTACTACAAATACAAAAAACAACCAGGAATAGTGATGGATGCTACTGTGGAGGCTGAGGCAGGAGAATCACTTGAGCCTGGGAGAGGGAGGTTGCAGTGAGCCCAGATCACGCCACTATACTCCAGTCTGAGCACAACAAGGCAAGACTCTGTCTCAAAAAAAAAGAAATCCTAAGGATAAATGGAAGATCCTAAAAGGGTTTTGTTTTTGTTTTTGTTTTTTTCTTTCTTACTCACCACTATGCAAATAAGGCCCTAAATGTTTCTAGAAAAGACACAGGTCACATCCAAAACATTGGGACCTAGAATGATACTGAGCTTCTGTGTAGCAGCTCTGGGAGCTAGAAGACAATGGAGCATCACCCTCAAAATTTTGGATGGAAAAGTTTACTGACTTCAACTTTTATATTTAAGCATGTGGGCAAAAAATGTTTTTATGGCTGGGAGTGGTGGCTCACACTTTGTAATCCCTGCACTTTGAAAGGCTGAGACAGGTGGATCACCTGAGTTCGAGACCAGTGTGGCCAACATGGCAAAACCCCATCTGTACTAAAAATACAAAAAGTTAACCAGGCGTAGTGGCACACCCCTATAGTCCCAGCTACTCGAGAGGCTAAGACAGGAGAATTGCTTGAACCCAGGAGGCGGAGGCCATAGTGAACTGAAATCATGCCACTGCACTCTAGCCTAGGCTACAGAACAAGACTCCGTCTCAAAAAATAAATAAATAAAAAGATTTTATATGTCAGTTATATGTGTGGATAAAACAAGGACATTTCAGTCATTCAAGGTCTCAAAAAAATTCACCTTCTATATACCTTCTATCAAGAAATCATGGGAATATATACTCCACCTGAACCAGTGAGTAAACCGTAAAAGAGACAGAGGATCTGGGAAATAGATGCTCCAGCCTAGGAAAAAAAGGAGGGAATTCTAGAGATGAAGAGGAGGAGACTCCCTGGCAAGATGTCAGTGATTCAGTGGCCCAGAGAGCAATCAATCCAGGTCAGAGCAGGAGAAGCCCCTGAGAATGTCTTCAAGGCGGGGTGAAACTGACAGATAACCTGAAGTGTTTGAACTGATTAAGAAGAGATTTACAGTTCTGTTAGAAAGTTTGAGGATGAATTAATGAAAAATACATAACAAATACTAAGCTGGAAAAAAAAAAACAGAGGAAAAAAAAGACTAAGAAGAGGAAGTGGTAATTATTAGTTCCAAGGAAACCAAAATTATACAAGAAAGGAAATTTAATTATAGCATTCCATATGATTCAGCTGTATATATTATTTACTACATAATAGCACAGTTAGCACTGAATATTGAGTCGAACAAAAACAGTAACTTACACTGGGAGGAAGGGAGGATGGAGGCTTGGCGTTGTGAGGGTGGGGAGGGGTGGAGAGTGCTCTTTGTTTGTCAGCCTGTAATATTAATTATTTGGCTTTTTAAATCATGTATTCAATAAAAATTTTAATAATTTTAAAATCAAATTAGTAATTTAAATTACAATAAATTATTAAAGAAAGGAACAATTCCCTTTATGAAATTATATTAATAATTTATATTAAGAAATTATTCCCTTTTTTTATACTTTTTTTTTTTTAAGACTTAGGGTCTTGCTGTGCTCCCTAGGCTGGAGTGCAGTGGCTGTTCACAGGTGTGATCATAGAGTGCTATAGCCTGGAACTGCTAGACTCAATCAATCCTCCTGCCTCAGCCCCCTGAAGTAGCTGGGACTGACAGGGTCATGCCATAGCTCTCAACCTTTTCTTTTTTTTTTTTGAGATGGAGTTTCGCTCTTGTTACCCAGGCTGGATGCAATGGCACAATCTCGGCTCACCACAACCTCCGTCTCCTGGTTCAAGCAATTCTCCTGCCTCAGCCTCCCGAGTAGCTGGGACTACAGACGTGCGCCACCATGCCCAGCTAATTTTTGTATTTTTAGTAGAGACGGGGTTTCACCATGTTGACCAGGATGGTCTCGCTCTCTTGACCTCGTGATCCACCCGTCTCGGCCTCCCAAAGTGCTGGGGGTTATAGGCGTGAGCCACTGTGCCCGGCCTCAACCTTTTCTTTATAGCTTTAAAAATAAAAGCATGTATATACTTATATATGTCTACACACACACACACACACACACACACACACAAACACACACAGTTAAAAAAATGTATTTTCTGCTTCAGTTCGCTCTAAAATAGGTATATATTTGAACTTGATAATTATAAAATCATATAATGTATGTATGCTTTTGTGAATTGCTTCCTTCGCTTGATTACCTTTTTGTAACTCATCCAGATTGAGGTGTATAGCTATAGTTCATTCGTTTTCATGCAATACAGTATTCTGTTTTCTGAAAACCCATAGCCTATTTATCTGTTTTACTGTTGATAGACATTTATTCATGTATTTTTTCTGCTAAAAAGGATTCTACTACAAATACTTTTGTATATGTGCAAAAGTGTCTGTAGGGTATATACATAGAAGTGCAGTTACTAAGGTGTACGGTAAATGCATGTTCAAATGTACTAAATAATGGCAAACTTTTTCAAAGTAGCCATACCAGCTTTCCCTCCCTCTAGGAGTGGATAAGAATTGCTATTGCTCTATATCCTTGTCAACACTTGGTATTGCCTGACTTTAATTTTAGCCAACCTGGTAGTTGTGAAATGGTTTTAATTTGCATTTTTTTGACTGACATGAGATTGGACATCTTTTCATACGTTTAGGAATTGTTTATGTGTTCTCTTCAGTGAAATTCCTAGTTGGTTATTTTGCAGGTTTTTCTAGTAGATTGTCTTCATCTCATTGATTCGTCACTGTTCTTTTATATGCTGGATGCTCATCCTTTGTCAGAGTTACATGTTTTGCAGATGAACATGTTTCCTTTTTTATTCTGCATATCTAATCACTCAAGGAGAAGTTTGAAAACCATTGGCCTAGGCTTCTGTTCTGTGCACAGTGAAATGGCCTTGTGGTTCTGCACAGGGTAGGTCTGGGTTCTTGGAGTGAGTCTCACTGTAGTTACTGAGTACTGCTGACCTGTGGTGCTTGCCTTTGCAGGTGGAACAGGAGGATTTTGTAATGGAAGGGCATGGCAAGACTCCACCTCCTGGTGAAGAAAGCAAACAGTGAGTCACAGTTTATTTAAAAAGAGTCCTATTACAGGTCCTCGGAAACAGTTTGGTTCAACATGCTGACTATGTGTTTGTCAGAGATGTATATGTTGGAGACATTGGGGAACTCACCTGTTGCTTTGGTGGCTATGAATGCATTGCTTCTATTTATAGACCAACTAACTGGAAGGACAAGAAAGTTAGCTTTATAGGCTTTCACACTCGCCTAATCAAAATTTATGTTACGTTTTAGCAATGGCTTTAAGGCTCAGTATGTTCCAAATTGAACTAATTCAGTTTGGTTGATTTCCAAAGAAAGTATAAAGTGGTACATCCTTTTCTCAGCAATGTCTTTATGAAGTGGACTAAATTAATAGACCATTTCCTTGCAATCTAAGTGTGAATTTATTTGAATAGTGCTTCCTGAAATTCTATTCCATTTGGTTATTTACACTTCTGATCTTTGTTTAAATAACAAATTGTTTCCCTAAAGGAACAGGAATTATAAATAATATAACTTAGCCAACATTCTTAATAATTTAGTATCTCTCCCCTGACTCCTTAAGGGGTGATTGGTTTTAAACTTGAAGCTGGGAGTCTGCAGGGTAGCTATTTGATAGCAGTGAGTGGATTTTTTTCCTCTCTCTGTCACAGAATGTGAAAAATTGTGTTGCAGAGCAGACTGGTTTTTCATGTGCCCTTTTAAAGGAAAAACAGTTAAGACTGCTTAAAGTACTGACATAACTACTATTTTTTATTCATACATTAGTCTTCTAAATTGAATGGCCCAGAGTGATTCATGGAATTTACCAAAAATCTATAGAGAGAAACTTCTCTCGCTCATATTTTTTTTTCCTAGAAAATAGTTTAATTTTGGTCTGTCTTAAGAAAATTATGTCTTTGAAACCCTTAGGAATAAATTATGCAGAATGGACTATGCTGCCACGAGGCCAGATTCATTAAAGGAAAATGGCTTGTCTTGTATTTGTTGTGAATGGAAACCAGGATATTTTCACAGATGGTTTAATTTGCCAACTAGGCAATTTTAAAAATAGCTTACAGTATAAATCCTAACTTTGCTGTATTCTGTCAAAAGCACTTATATTCTGCATGGGCTGATGGAATCAATTCATCTTTAGCAAATTAGAATGCCAGACATCTAGTCCCAGTGGAATGACGAGAGAAACACTTTAGGTGCTTTTCTCCCTGTCCACTGCACAGGCCTCCACCCCCACAGTCTGGTCACAGATCTGTCATAGAAAAATTATACTCCCCTTGGCTGGACACAGTGGCTCACGCCTATAATCCTAGCTACTTTGGGAGGCCGAGGTGGGCAGATTGCCTGAGCTCAGGAGTTCAAGACCAGCCTGGGCAACATGGTAAAACCCCATCTCTACTAAAATGCAAAAGAAATTAGTCTGCTGTGGTGGCATGTGCCTGAAGTCCCAGCTACTCAGGATGCTGAAGCAGGAGAATTGCTTGAACCCAGGAGGCAGAGGTTGCAGTGAGCTGAGATCATGCCACTGCACCCCAGCCTGGGTGACAGAGTAAGACTCGGTTTTCTGTGCACAAGGTACTTTGCTTAAATGTTTTTTACTCTGTCATTTCCACTGGTTACACTATTTCATCTCCATTTCACTCAGATATCAGGGTTGGTAACTCGCCTATGGTAATGCAACTTGAAATGCAATACAGATTTGAACCCACATCTCACCAATGCTCTCACATCCTTTGCCATCCTTGGAAGCTATGTTCCTGAAAAATACTGTGGTTAGTAAAACTGCAGTTGTCAAGATCAAAGTCTCATGAATAAGAGGGAGTTGGGGGAAACAATGAAAATGGCATTAAGCCTATTTTTAAAACACAGATGAAAGTTCTGTACTATAAAGGGTATCCATTTCCCAAACAAACCAGTCTTTATCTTTAAACATCTCTCTAGTAACCTCTCTGCTGAATCAGCTTATTTAGGTATTCAGGAAACGTTCCTGGGCAGATTCTCCCACAAGTTTTATGTTATACAAGCTGTACTTCTTTTAGAGAGTTTCAGAGAGCCCCAGCAAGTTGGAATGCCATGTGTTATATCCTTGCCTTTCTCCCTTGTTTTATTTTCACAAGTCTCATACTGCCTAACCTTTTCACAGGTGATACTATTCTATTTCTGGGCCTGGTCAGCTATTACACACTGAAGTGGTAAAGCAGAAATGAGTCTTCTCAAAGGTGCTGTGTTCTTGTTTTGAGGCAACAACAATAAAAATATTTACAAAAAATATTTTTAATCTCAGAACTGCAGTTGGCAAATGATTATTGCTATACTTTATAAATATGATTCAGTTTGGGTAGAGAATGTAGGAACTGAGTACTTTTTTTTTCTTTGGAGGCGGAGTTTCAGTCTTGTTGCCCAGGCTGGAGTGCAGTGGCACGATCTTGGCTCATAGCAACCTCCACCTCCCAGGTTCAAGCAGTTCTCCTGCCTCAACCTCCCAAGTAGCAGGGATTACAGGCATGTGCCACCATGCCCGGCTAATTTTGTGTTTTTAGTAGAAACGGGGGTTTCTCCATGTGGGTCAGGCTGGTCTTGAATTCCTGACCTCAGGTGATCTACCCGCCTTAGCCTCCCAAAGTATCTGGGATTACAGGTGCCCACCACCACAATGCCCAGCTAATTTTTTGTATTTTTAGTAGAGACACGGTTTCACCATGTTGGCCAGGCTGGTCTTGAATTCCTGACCTCAGATGATCCACCCGCCTCAGCCTCCCAAAGTGCTGGGATTACAGGCATGAGCCACCATGCCTGGCCATAATTTTTAAATAAAAGCAATATTAGCTTGTCATAAAACATTCAAACAGTAAATGTGACTATAGAAATAAAGGTGAGATTCTTCCCTTCCTAATCTTCCTAAACATTTTCTGTACATGTAAAAAAAAAATTAAATTGCTTTTTAAAAAATATCATTCTTCTGAGACTTACTTTTGTAACGACATATTTTCAGTCTATTTCTTTTTTTTTTTTTTTTTTTTCTTGGAGGCAAGGTCTTACTGTGTTACTAGGCTAGGGTGCAGTGCTGCGATCATAGCTCACTGCGACCTGGAACTCCTGGGCTCATGGGATCTTCCTGCTTTAGCCTCCCGAGTGGCTGGGACTACAGGTGCATACCATTGTACCCGGCTAATTAAAAAAATTTTTTTTGTGGAGATGAGGTCCCATATTGTTGCCCAGACTGCTCTGCAACTCCTGGGCCCAGGCAATCCTCCTGCCTCAGACTTCCAAAGTGTTGGTATTACAGGTATGAGCCATGTGGCCCGGCCTGTTTCATCCTTTTAAAATCTGTTGAACATCCTGTTGAATGGATGTGCTATTGTCATTCTTCCCTAATAAATATTTTGGTGGCCCTCACTTCCTTGATTACTACAAATAATATTTTATTAGAAATCCTTATTCTTATATTTTTATTTTTATTTATTGATTGAGAGGGTCTCACTGTGTTGCCCAGGCTAGACAACACGTGGTGAGATCATAACTCACTGCAACCTTGAACTCCAGGGCGCAAGTGATCTTCCACCTTAGCCTCCTGAGTAGCTAGTACTACAGGCACACACTACCAAGCCCAGATACTTTTTTTTTCTTTTGAGGCTTAGTTTCTGTTTTTTCTTGTAGTAGAAACAGGGCCTCACTATGTTGCCCAGGCTGATCTCAAACACTTGGGCTCAAGCATTCCCCCAAACTCAGCCTCCTACAGTGCTGGGAATACAGGCATGTGCCATCACCCCTGTTCTCTTGCTGTTTTCATTTGTTTTCTTCTGCTTACTAATGAGATGGAATATCTTTTGTTAGTTTATTGGCCATTTATTTTTATTTTGTGTATCACCTATTTACATATATTTCCCATTTTTATTGGATTGTTTTTATCGTTTTGTAGGAGCCCTTTATCCATTTTAGATACTATTAACCTTTGTCTGTTGAGATGTTTTAAATATTTTCTCTCAGTCCTTATTATTTAACATTAGATATCTTTCATGCCAACAAATCTTTAAAATTTTTATATAGTAAAATCAACCTTTCTGGCTTTCATGTTTTGTGCTTGCCTTAAGAAGTCGTCCCTAGCCTAACCTGATAAAATATCCGTAGGTTTTCTACTTTATTTTTTACATTTAGATGTTTAATTGAATTGGTAGTTTTGTATATGGTGTGAGGCAGAGATCTAACTTAATTTTTTTTCCAAATGGTTCTCATTTACTGGTATTAGCCTGTATGAACAGCCCATTTCACTTACAGAGGGCAAGAGAACACATGGCTAATGTAACTTGCTGAAGGTCATGGAGCACATTCTTATAAGGACTAAGACTAAAATTATGTCATTAGCAGATCTGTGCCACTTTCCTTATATCCCCATTTAATGTTTTGACTATAGGTTCCCAAAACCTTAAAACATTATTTTCTGTGATGTTTGTTTCAATGGAACTAAGTTCTATTAAGGGGCAGATTAAGGTAGCTGTATATGTAGAAAGTGCTTGAAAAATAATTTTCTTTTGATATTGAGAAGTATCTGTGCCAAACTGTTAATATTCTAGACCAGTTGTACTGAATTCTGGTATATGTATATGAATAAGATTTATAATGTATATAGCTGTAAACACTTTATATGTATTGTTTCATTGGGGTTTATTTACTATTAGAATATCTAATCATTTTTCTGAGCATATTCTCTTTGAGAGTTACTTTAGCAAATCAGACAAGCAAAGTTTATTGCCATGTAATTACTACATTAAAATTATACAGCTTTAATTGCATGATGTGTTTAATGCAGGGGTAAATATTAAAATTATGACAGCTTTTAAAAAAGCAGCTGAGCAGGTACTTGCTTATAGATTGTGTTTGACCATGCTTATTGAGAGGTCATTGTAGGCCAGGTGCAGTGGCTCACGCCTATAATCCCAGCACTTTGGGAGGCTAAGGCAGGTGGATTATGAGGTCAGGAGATCGAGACCAGCCTGGCCAAGATGGTGAAATGCCATCT